CATCGGAAGTCAACTTTGCGGACCGCGGCTCTAGGCTCAAAGACCGCGGGCCAGTTCGGGAACATCCAGACCTCCGCGATGTTGAGAGGCGCGGGGCCACCTCGGAAGGGGGCGCCTCTCTCTCGGCGCTCCGACATGCTGTCGACCAGGAGGCCAGGAGGCGGGGCGCGGGCGGAGCCGCCTGTCCCAGCCGCGCGGAGCCAGGCCCGGCCTGTCGAGCCGCTGCCAGTGGACATGGTCATGGCCGACGGTGCGCCGGCGCGGAAGCGGCGGCGGCAGCAGCGGCGAGCGGCCCACCTCGAGAGCGCCCAGCTGTGCAGAGAGCAGGGCGCCTTCTTCCTGGGGGTCAGCACGGTCCGCGGCGCGACCGCGGACCTCTACGACATCTTCCTGGCCACCTTCGAGCGCTGGGCGGGGATCGCCGTCCGCGAGCTGAAGGCCGGGGAGCTGGACACCTACCTGCTGGACTACTGGGAGCACCTGTACTTCGAGGGGGAGAATCACTCGACGTCCTCGAAGCAGCTGGCGGCGCTGGAGCACAGGTGCCCGCAGCTCAGGAAGGGCTGCCCTGCTGCGCCCACGCGCGCCCGACAGGCGCTGCGGGGGTTCCGCCGGCTGGCGCTGGGCCGCAGCAGGGCGCCTCTCCCCTTCGTCGGGCTGATGGCGATGATCGGCGCCGCCCTCCTCCACGGCCTCCGGGACGTGGCCCTCGCACTCCTGATCTGCTTCATCGGCTACCTCAGGCCCTCGGAGCTGGTCAAGCTGAAGGGGCCGCAGCTGGCGGCGCCGGTGGCGGGATCGGCCGCGCGGCACTGGATGCTGCTCCTGTCGCCCGCAGGGGAGAACATCGGGAGCAAGACCCACGAGTTCGACGAGAGCGCGGCGCTGGACTGGGACGCGATGAAGCAGCTGACGCCCAGGCTGCTCGAGCTGAAGCACAGCGCCGGCCAGGGCAACCTCTGGCCCTTCAGCCAGTTGCAGTTCTCGGAGCACTTCAGAACCCTGGCGGAGGTCAGCGGCGCGTCAGTATTGCGCCCGCACCCATACTGCCTTCGCCACGGAGGAGCCAGCTACAACAGTCTCACAAAGCGCCGAACACCCGAGCAGATCAAGCGTCAAGGGCGCTGGAAGGCCGACGCCAGCGTGAATCGCTACAGCAAGCACGCGCGGGTCGCCAACGAAGCCACCAAGCTACCTCTCGCCGTGCGCCGCTACGGCAACGCCATCAGCCAGGACCTGGCGGCCTTCCTTCGGGGCGTGCGGTCGCCCCCAGAGCTCCCCACTGCTCAGCTGCAGCGCGCTCTAGTGCCGCTGCGATGACTTCAGGGCAGATTCGTTCTCGGCTTAATTCACATCTCCGACCTGCTAACCAGCAAGCTGGCTCGGCAATTGTATATTTGGACCTCTTCTCTGGCTCAGGCCGCACAGCCAGATATGTTGAAAACGCCGGAGGTGCTGTTTGCATTAGAGTAGACTTGAAGCGCGGTGCCGAGTTTGACGTTACGAACCGCACAGTGCAGCAAGTTGTCTTCGGATGGATCAGGAGCAAGCAGATCCGCGGGGCCATCGGGGGGGTCCCGTGCACCACTTGGTCGCAAGCTAGGCGACCCCCCTTGAGGTCCCGCGCGCACCCCCGTGGTGTTTTTGGGCTGTCTGGGCGAGATGCCGAGCAGCTTCGAGAAGGAAATGGCACTTTTGATTTTCTGATCAGCGCTATCCGCCGTTGTATCCGTTTTGGAGTTCCCATTATTGCAGAGAACCCACGCACGTCCCTCGCATGGTCCGAACCTTCGATGTGTAGGCGTCTGGCGAAGGGTCGGGAAATTATGTGTGATTTTTGCATGTTCGAAACGCGCTCGCAAAAAAGAACACGTTTGTTGGCTGGTCTGTAGTGCTTCCGCCTCTAGGGCTCGAGCGGAAATGCACCCCCCTGAGATCGGGGGATTTGTCCATCTCTGGGAAGGTCTGCTGCCGATCAGAGTTGCCTCACATTCATCTTCGTGGTCGGCAGCCCCGCTCTAATATCCACTGGACAAAGACTGCGGAACCCTACCCTCTCCCCCTGGCCAAATTGCCGGTACAGTGGATCGTCGCGTCTCGAGAGGCTCGGGGGCTCCAGCACCGAATGGAACTTGCAGCATGACGGCCCAGGTCATACAAATGGGTTGGGGCCAGATTTATGACATGTCTCCCGGGAGCGTCCGCAGCCTTTCGACAGATGAAACAGATGAGCCCGTCTCTATCTGCATCAATCTATTTGGTCTAGCGTTAGGATTGCTTGTTCTCAGAACGGTTTTCCTGCCATAGCGTCCGGGCCGCAGAGAGGGGAACCACCCCTCTCCTACGGTCATCCATGGCCGTTTTGGCTCCTCCATCCCTCCCCTCCTCCTTCTGTTGGTTTCAACAATGCTATCTTTGACGCTGTTGCACGGTGCCAGATTTATGACATGTCTCGCGGGAGCGTTCACAGCCTTTCGACAGATGAAACAGATGAGCCCGTCTCTATCTGCATCGATCTATCTGGTCTAGCGTTCGGATTTTTATGTCGTCAGCGCCACTGCTCGGCCACGACTGAGCTGGGCGCGCAGGAGGGGCCTCGCCTGTCGCGACCACGGCGTGGAGGGCCCATGGGAGGCCCCTTTGAAGTGCAGGGCTCCATGGGCACGTTAGCGCGATCACCATCATATTGGAGCTACACGACGCGAGATCTCATCTCCAATTGGGGCGGCCTCTCCGCAGATTTGAGTCCGGCGAAGTTGGTGGAAGATCTGCGGGGCGTGAGACTTGCAGATCGGGGCAGCGCGCCATGGGGCCTTCGATGTAAAACTGGGGAAGGCATCTTGTCACATGAAGCTCTAGCACCTTCTGGGCGCGGGCACAAACACTAGCAACCGAGAGATGCGATTCCACTTCGCACGTCATGATTCTCACGCACGACGCGCGTTTTGGGCATGGGGATCCACTGTCCAGGGGATTGTTCTGGACCGCTTTCCGCACGCGGTGCAATTTCTGAAATCTTGGGACAGCGCGGCGCGGAGTGAATGGATGCTGCGATATGAAAAGGAAAGCTTGTGCAGTGGATTGGGGGTCTGGTCATCAGAGTTATTCCACCATTCGCGTCGCGCATTATGACAGAGGGGCAGGCGTTTAACGCTTCGATTCGTGGACTCGAACCGTTCGTCGTGCAGCAGTGCAACTACGTGCGCTTAGACCGTGGCCCGGCAGCTCTGCGCCGCGTCGCCATGAGGGGGGCGGCCACTGATGAACGCGACGGTGGCATGATTCGCCCGCCTAGCAAAGCCGCGTCTGACGGGAAGCAGAACCGAACTCATCGCCCGTCGTTTGAAGCTCCACCAAGCGCGGCCCGGCTCGTCCGACTGCAGGCTTCAGCCTACGGTCGGGGCCCCGACGGCCTCAGCTGCTCCTTGGGTGGTTCAGCCGGTCAGGGGTCTGGGATTTGTGTGCCTCGGAAGGTCTGGAACACAATGCCGTGGATGTACGACTCTCGGACTTGCGCATTCTAGACGATTCAGAGGCTGCGCGGGATTTTGTTAAATCGATGTCACGGAGCCCAGGGCCAGGGAGTTCGGCGCGCATTCCCCCCCCAGGCGCGCGTGCGTTCATCGCAGCTACAGAAACACAGGTGGGTGGCGATGTGGAGGCCGCAGGGGTGGAAGTTTGGAGGGCAACCGCAGGCGCGAGATCATGGGCGACAAACGCAACGCACGCACCGCCCTCGGCAACGATCGCAAAGCACAATTCGACCAGTCACGCGCGCGCCATCATGCGCGAAACATTTTTCAGCCGTCCTCGCACCATGCAATATATGTATACACTGTACGCAAATACTCTCAACGGGAGCGACTTCTCCGCGCCATTTACTTGCGTCGGTTCTTCGAGATTACTGTTCGACGAGGGGCCCACATCACCGACAGCTCTGGTTCCTCCTAGGTCGCGCGATTGTCCGGCGCGCGACTACATCGACGAGGATTCGGATTCTCTCCGCGGCCACTCATGCCCCGCATCTTCCTTGGAAACTAAAGCCTCACAGCCCACGGTCACCCACGGCCTCCTCCGCGAGAGGGAACTTCTCAAGCCTGCCTGGGGGTGCCATGCCAAAGCTTGCAATGCCGTCGCGGTCCAACACATCGCAGTCGCGCAGATCTGAGGGCGACGGCGAAAACGGCCGCAAACAGAGAGTGCCGAAAAACGCCGACGACAAGACGGGCGCGGGCAAGCACGGCAAGCTTCTGATGCTCGTGGCTCGTCTTCTCTAGGCTACGGCACGCGGCATGGTCGACCTCGCAGCGGCGGCGTTTATCGCGCTCGAGATGAGCGCGGCGCAGGGCCCCCCAGCATCTCTCGCGGCACCGGCTAGGCGCACGACGGCAAGAGCAAGGTGCTGTTAGGCCGCGTGAAGGCAGGCGGGCAGACTGCATCGCCCGCCTCTCACTGCCAACTGCGCAAGCAACTAACAGCCCAGGGCCGGGCCGTGGAAGGCCATCGGACGCCTTTCCACTTCGGCAGTTCGTAACAATTCCAGGGGATGCGCGGCGAACGAAGGGGAAAATGAGAAGGAGTTGGAGAAGAGCAAGGCTTTTTCTCAAGGCCTCCTCAGAAACCCTAAAGTGTTTTGAGTCTTCGGTGGAGGCTCAAAAGACCTCTGGGAAGGCAGGGGAACTTCCGAGCTTCCCCCCGGGGTGGCTTTTCGGTCCGGACCCATCTCTGACGGCCCCAGGGCCCGAGGATGGGCCCGGGAGGCCCTCCTCCTCTCCTCCTCCTCCTCCTCCTCCTCCTCCTCGTCCTCCTCCTCCACCTCCTCGTCCGCCTCCTCCTCTTTCTCCTCCTCCTCCTCCTCCCCCTCCTCCTTCTCCTCCCCCGCTTCCTCCTCCTCCCCCGTTTCCTCCTCCTCCTCCTCCTCCTCCTCGCCTGGATCGGAAAACACATGTCGTCAGAGATCTGAGGCCTGGGCACGCCGAGCCCCACCCATCCCCCCGGAGCGTCTGCCGCATCCAGAGCGCGGACTGGCACGAGGCCCGCGAGACGCTGGAGCTCCCCGGCAGGCAGCCGCCGGAGCTCGCCCGGCCCTCGGGCCGCCCCGGGGGCGGGGGAGCGCGGCGAGGCGCCCCAGCCCAGGGGTGCTCGCGCCGTGGGGAGAAGCCAGGCCCAGATCTCAGACAATCTGGCTGCTTCAATCCAAGCGTCGGTATGGTCTGGCCGATCCCCATAGCCATCCCCATCCCCTTCGGGACCCCCACCGAATTACCACCCCAGATGGGGATACACCCCTCGAAACCCGACGGGAACGACCTATATCTCCATCTAGGGGTGTAAATCGGCCAGTGGGGCCCAGGCCACGCCGCTGGGGATGGGGATAGGTTCAACGTTACTCAAAGCGTCTTTCCTGGATGTCGGCCCCTGGGGGCCGCTGCCAGGCCCCCCAGGGCAAGAAAAGGTGTGGCCAGGAGGAAAAGCTACACCGGGGGAAGAGATCGGAGCCTCTGGGGCCGCGCTTGGAACAATTCTTGACGCTTCGCGCAACCCTACCAGCCCATCCAGAGACGATGCCCAGAGGAGTTGCCTCGATCAGAGAAGCAGGCAGCACACAGAGGGAGGGTCCCTCTTGGAGCGCTCTTGGAGGCCTCTTAGAGCGCCTCTTGGGGCATCCCGGGCGCCTTCTGGGGCACTCTTGAGACGCTCTTGGGAGCCTTGGAAGCGTTTTGCGGCAATCTTCGAGGAGATCGATTTAAAAAGAAGGGAGCTCCGCCTTTTGGGCCCCTCTTGGGGCGCTCTTGGAGCGCTCTTGGGCGCTCTCGGGGCCCTCATGGGTCTTGTTGGAGCTGTCTTGAGACCTCGGGAGGCCATCGGGAGCGAAAGGCGAGGAAGCATAGATACTGATTTCCCTCAGGTTTCGGAAGGATGTTGGCCTCTTGGCGGCCTCCTGGGGAGGCTCCGTGGCCACCTGGGACCGTCTGAGCGCTCTTGGGGAGCCATCTTGGGGCATCTTGGGCTATCTTGAGCCATCTTGGAGGTCGTCTTGGGCTCTCTGAGGCGCTCTTGGAGCCGTCCTGGGCCATCTTGGACGCTCCAACGCATCGCAGAACCCCCCGTCCAGGTCCAGGGGAGGGGATGAGGGAAAGGGTCAAGACACCCTCCCCGCCCGCAAGCCGTCTCGCTCACTCCCACCCGCCCTCCCAACACATACGTAGCACCCGAGCCTGGCCCGAGCCGCAGCCCATGCAGCAGTCGTCTTTGGATGGGCACCTACTGGGGGCGAATCCGCCGCCGCCTACGCTTCCGCCTCCGCCGCCGCCGCCCGCCGCCGCCGCCGCCGCCGCCCCAGCTGCCGAATCGCCGCCGCCGCAGCCGCTGCCGCCACCGCTGCCGCCGCTGCCGCCGCCGCCCCCGCCGCCGCCACCGCCGCTGCCCCCGCCGCAGCCGCCGCAGCCGCTGCCCCCGCCGCAGCCGCCGCAGCCGCCGCCGCCGCCAAGTGTACTCTGTATTGCTTTTTGACAGGGATGGTGGGGGAAGGCCGCATCGGGTTCGCTGCGCATGCTCCGAAGTTGGAGGCAGACTTTGTTTCGTACTGTTTTTTACAAGGGATGGTGGGGGAAGCCCTCATTGACTCGGGTTGGCTCCCATTCGCCTGGGGGAAGGGGTGTATATTAATAGGGAAAAGATGAAGCCCTCCCCGAAGGGGAAGAAGGGGGCTGGAAGAGAAAGCTCTCTAGACCACCTACGCCCAGGAGGCTGGTGGGACTCACATCGTCGGACTTCTGGAAGGGTTTTGGAAAACTTTCCTCGGTCCCTGATGGCTTCCCTGCCTTTGGGATGCATTCCGGTAGCCGCGTCTCGCGGGTTGCAGTCCGGGGGTGCCAGGATCGCGCCAAGCGGCCGTCGGAGGCCCAAGCTATGGCCCCCGAAAGCTATAACTGTTCGCGTCGCGGTGCGTTCGCTGCGGAAGGCTTCTGGACCGTCTACGGCCTCCTGGGGCTCTCGCCGGCTTTGGGACCGTCACAAGGCAACTTGGGACGAAAAACCAGGGAAGGATAATGAAAGCATCACGGCGTCGGATGCCAGGGTCCACTGCTGCAGAACTTGGGGAGCTGGGCGTTGCAGCTGTTTCGCACTGGGCGGTTCGGCCTTTTCTCAGGCCCGGGGCACTCACGGATCGATCTGGCCTGAGAAATGCAGCAGCACGCTGTGGTCGAAGGCTCTGGACGTGATCTCACACAGTGTTACAAATCTTTCGCTTCGCTTGATGTCAGGGGAGGAGCAAGAGATTGCAGAAACGCACACTTCCAGAGGTCCTCGCGGGTTTCGTGGGCCGGCGCTCGACACCGCCCCTCCTCCCTGGCGCCGCCAGGGAGGTCAGCGCCAAGCCAAGAGATTCGCGCAGACCTCCGAAGGCTCATGTTCATGTCGTTGTTGGTTTTCTGGAGGAGCCAACAAAAGTAGAAGGTATTCAGAAACCTGCAAGCGCACGCCGTCAGCACTTGCTAGGTTCATCTTGGGCATCGGGCTGAGGTAAAAGACCCGCATGGCCCAGGTCTAGAGCTGGCCCTGGCTTGGCCAGGACTGGTGTTGGTGTGTAGCTGCCTCTGTCCAACATTTGACAAGTGAACGCGTTTTGTTCCCAGTTTGGGGGTGTCACTGGACATTCACATGTCGTGCACATGTTACTGCTCTTCTTTGCACGTTGGTGGTCATACAAGGACAAATAGAGGCGAGCACAACCGGAAGCGAGTTTACGGTGTAGCAGTGTAGCGCGCCCAGGCTGTCGTGGCAAAATTTTGAATTCACCCGGCGTTTGCGTTAGAGCAGTGTTGCCTCCGGAGCACCGAAGCTAGACGGAAGAATTGCAAGACGTAATGTGATGATCGGCGCAGCGCGCAAGGATCAAGCGCGGTGGGTTAGTTTGGCGTCGTGTGATGAGATTGGCCCAGCCATCCCGCATCCCGTGCCTTGCAACTCTCATGGCGGTTTCACTTACCACTCGTAGTATTTGCCGGTTTGCTCTTATTACCTTGCCTCCTTGGTTTCCCCTCCTCTTTTCCTTTCCTCTCCCTCCGGCGACCGGCTCGCGCGCCAGTTGCGGTGGGGTCGTAGACTCAGCGTGCACGCTGGCTGCGTCTGTGTCTTCGCCCTCTGCTCTTTTCCCCCCCTCCTTCTTCCCCTCTTGTCGTGTCTCCGGGCTCTTTTTTGTTCTTACTGGCGAGGGTCAATTGTGCCCTTTGGCAATGCCTGGTCGGTGTGCGCACGCGCGGGCTCTTCTTCTCTTCGCGCGCTTGTGTGGGATATTTCTGCGGGATGCCTCCGGCGAAGTCTGGGTAGCGCTCGCAGCACGAGCTGCGCTCCCCTGATTTGTTTCCTACCTCCTCTGCTCTCCTGTTGCTCGTCCCCCTTCCTCCTCGTCCTGGCTGTGTCTCACGATGTCTGTCAATGGCAAGCCGACTCGATTCGCAGTTCAGTTGATGTTGGACATGCGCAAAACTGGTCGGAGGTCATGCTTCGCTGGAAAAAAAGTTGACCTCGCCCCAGTCGCGTCCTGCCGAGGCGATTTCTATCGAGGTTGCCGACGCCGCGGAGTGCTCCCTGAGCCTGTCGCAGCCGGAGGAGCGCTTGAGAGGCAGCCGCCTGCACAAGCACTTGTCGAAGCACATGGCCCGCATCGGTGCCAGCGCCCGGCTTGATTCGGCTGTTTCTTGCTGCGCTGCGGCCGGCTCTCCATCGGCTCGCATTTCGCGACAGTTAACATTAATCGCGAATTTGAACTCTTCACCGTGAAGAATGTAATGAGCGTTGTGTCATCGTGCCGTGTTGGAGACAACTGACTATGACTCTACGCTACGGTTCGCGTAGTGTCATAGCGTAGAGCTGCGGACACCTGGGTGTGACACTACACTGTGACACTACGCTACGGTTAGCTCCCCATCGACTCGCATTGCGTCGCGGTGCGCTGCTGCAGACCACGCACATCACCAGACACGCTCGCGCCAGACGCTTCGGCCGCCTTCGGCCTCCCAGGGCCCTCGCCGGGCCCTGGGACCGTCAACAAAACGGATCGGGACGAAACAACGGCCCTGGGAAAAGAGTTGGGACTTCAGGGGACCCCGCATGGAGAGATTCAAGACATCAGATGGCTGGGTCTCAAGGTCGTAACGTGATCACCCACACCTGCATTGTGACACGCTGGTACAAGCGGCATGCATCGCGTCGCTGTCCGCCCCCTGGGCAAGCCAGTTGGGCCTGAGGTGGGGTTGGCTGACGAGGCAAGCGTCTCCTTCGTGCCAAGACTCCGCTGCCGGCTGGCCTGAAGGAGCATGATTTGATCCTCCACGCTGGGTCAACATGTCAGAAGCGGCCGCCTCCAGGAAGGGGCCGAGGCGGGGGAGGAGGGAGGAGGGAGGAGAGAGGAGGGAGGAGGAGGAGGAGGAGCAGGAGGAGGAGGAGGAGAAGGAGGAGGAGGAGGAGGAGGGAGGAGGAGGAGGGGGAGGAAGGAGCATGAAGAAAAGGGAGCCGCCGCAGGAGTAGGACGCCTATGCCGCACGCAGCAACACCCGGGCCTCATGACTCGCCAGGCCCTTCCTCGCGCCACAGGGTCTACTATGATCCGATCGATCTGCCTCGTCGTCGTCGTCGTCCTCGTCCTCGTCGTCGTCGTCTCTGTGTGACGACGACGACGACCTCTTCTTTCCTCGTCATACATCCCACGTGCGACTTGCCGGGACAAATCGTTTATTATCCCCTCAGAACCCCGAATTTGATTATCCCCTGGGTGTTATTATCAGGGCTAGTTGGTTATCGACTCTGGCCCACCCGATTCGATTCGATCCCGATGTCGGGCGATCCGATGCGGCCTGGTGCTCGCATGGCGCTGTTATGCATCGTGGCGCCGCCGATTCGATCCGATTCCGACACCGAGACGATGCGGGCAGATCCGACACACGTTTCGGTCCGATCCGATTTCCCGGTTCGTTGTCGACGGTTTCTGTCCAATTGTTTCCGTGGGGGCCCAGAATTAGAATTCTCGTTGGGCTCGAGGCAGTTCGCCATCCTCGAGGCCACGATGACATGCCCCAGGATAGCCCGAAAACAGCGTTTGGATGTTGGCCCTGCGTGTCAGCATGTTCTGTCAGCGCTGCGCGTTAGCACTGGGCATCAGCGGCGCCAGCATCATGCCAGAGGGGTTCCAGCGCGTTCTGTGGGCACTGCGTCTTCGCACGTGTGCCATCTCGGCATGCTAGCACTGTCTGCAGACACTGCGCGCCTTCGTCGACAGTCGGCTTCGTATTTCAGACCATTGTGCCGGCCTTGCGCCTCAGCAGACTGTTTAGGCCCGTCCCTGGACCTTGGATCCCCGCGGTGGAAGACCCAAAGCTCCACCGCTGCCCCGCAGCTTGGGACTCCATCGCAGCTGGGCTTGAAGCCGAGCTTGCGGCCACGGTCTCGCGGGGCGGCGCGGGGACCCCAGCTTGCAAGCATAAGCAGCCTGAGGCGGCCAGAAGTACCTCCCCCTGCCATCGCGCGCCAAAGTATCGGCAGAGGCTGGGCAGGTTGCCAAGAGCATGTTGGCTATCGGCGGGACGTTTTGGCCGCCAGATTCGGTGGCCTTGTGAGAGTGAGCCTGAGGATCTTCCGCAACTGCGAAGTGTTTTATGGCATTCTGTCGAACGCCAGAGGAGCTCCATCCTGCAGACGTATTCGTCGGAGTGCCCACGTGCCCATTAAACAAATTGACACTCCTTCCGCATCAGTCATCCAGTTTTCAAGAAGGAACTTCTCTGACTCGCCCAGCGCATTTGACCTCAACGATGGATGTGAAATCGATGGGTCTGGTGCAGCGGTCAAGTTGTGTTATGAGGCCAATCTTGCCTGTACCAGCAGTATCGTATTTGGCCCGATGAAGATTGATTCTTGCTGGACAGATTCTATGGCTTGCTGTCCGCTCATGAATCCCAACGCTTTCGCTTCTGGCTCCAAGGGGGGGGGCGTACTTGATTTGCGCTTGCTCAACATGGGGGACGATGGAAGTCAGTGAGATCATCTGCGCGCGCCACCGCGCGCTGCAGTGTTTGGGCACTCTAGCGGTCACTGGTTACTGCTTAGCCGCGGCCAGTCGAGACGTCGAGAGCGCAGTCGGGGGCGACGCTTGGAGTGCTCCTTGGAGCCGCGACCAGGTCAGGATCCACAGCATGCGCGGCACCGCGGTGCTACACACAGTCGCTTCTCCCTTCGCACTGAGCCCTGAATCCTGAAGTTGCCAATTTCGATCCGGTGTCGCCTGACGGACCTCTGGTCGCAGCCAGACAGCCATCATTATGCAAGGCGTGCAGCGCAGCATAGCACGTGACGTGGACGAGAATCGCAGTGACATGGTGTCTCGCGCGGTGGCGCTGCATGACACGTGACCTAGTGTCCTCGCGCCACGTGCGTGACGTGGACGCGAAGCGCAGTGAAGTGGTGCCTCTCCCCAGAGATCCGACGTTGCGAACAACAATGCAGCATCGCGAAAAATCACGTCGAGCTCTAGACCCCATCTTTCTGCGGCGTTTTCCGAGCCCGATCGATCTGTGAGGGTCCCGTGGCCCCAAACCGGGCGAAAACCCATTGCGCGAAAGAATTGCAGCGCTGGGATTTCAGGGCCTCTCACGCGCGACGTATAGCGGAATCCGTAGCCATTTTGGCTCAAGGCTCAATCCTGTTCCCTGGGGATTGATCCTTGGTCGCTGCCGACGGGGAGGCTCGAGGGCCCCTCCAGCAGCTGGAGCTTCACACTTGCACTGCCACTCTTTCCCGTCCCCTCCTGTTCCCATGCCTGCCTCTGGCAACCGTGCTCGAGGCAACCGCCGAGAGCGATCGAATGATGGCAGCTCCTCTGAGGTTCGCTCCAAGAGTCGCTCGAACAGGGAGGTCTCTAGCTCGCGGGACGCTAAGTTCGACCTCATCCTCTCTGGGCTCCAAGGGTTGAGCCAGCAAGTGGCGAACAGCTCTGCTGAAGTCTCGAAGCTCAAGACCCAGATGGACCTGCAACTAATGCGCTGTGACCAGCTCACGACGAACATGCAAACGATGGGCAACGACATCCACAGTCGCATCACCCATATGGGGGGGATCCACGCGGCATGTACGACCGACCTACGGGACTCCATCGAGAAGATGAATGCCAGGGTCTGCGACTTGGAGAGCTCGCCGACGCCGATTGCTGCCTCTGACTCCTCCTCTGCTGCTAGCTCTCACGTCCAGAAGAAGATTGCGGACATTGAGGAGAAATTATCTTTTCTGTCTTCGGCAGGCTCCACACGTTCTACGCGCGTGGAGAGCACTGTGCGCACGGAGCAGACGAATGACAACCACACGAAGCTGATCGTCCTGGGCTTCCCGCGTCGGATGCTTGCCTCCACGCTCAAGGCCATAGGGGAGGCGATCCGCACCAAGTACTCGCCCTCGGCTTCTCACGCTCGCATCGTGATCAAAGCTTTTGATCTTACTCGTAAGATTTCTCTCCACTTCGAGACTGCGACGGAGGCGAGCGACTTCCTCCTGCGGTTCGAAGCTGATGGCAAATTTGAGTTTCCTGACCCGCTGGGTCAACAGCCTTTCTCACTTCGCCTTCGTCGCGATGTAGATGCTCGCTTTCGCCAACTTTTCCTCAGCATGGGCAGGGTGAGGCACGAGATGACGCAGCTCTTGCGTCCTAGGGGATACGACGTCAACAGCAATGGCGTCGGCGGCAGCATCTACGTTCTTCGTGCCAAAGATGACCCCGTCGTGCTTGCTTCTCTCCGGCTGGTCTCGGACGATGCCTCCGTCGAACTGGACCTAGACATGACAGCCCTGGAGGAGTTTGGCATTCACCAGCACGCTGAGGCATTCCGCTCTGCCGCCGCGGTGATGCTGCGCTCGCCCTTTCGGCGATGATCAATGCTGTCTGCCGCCTGCTCTGCCGCGTTCCAGCTTTCCTCTTCCTTCCTCTGGTTCTCCTACTGTTGATGACATCGGTGACGATAGACCTCCCCACTCCAATTGTCTTCCCTTCTCTCCTGAGTGCCCACTGTCCCTCTGCAGCTGGAACACGCACGGTCTTTTTAGCAGCGTGCGCTGTGGCTCGTGGCGTGCCAGTGCGAGGTATCAGTTATTCCTCTCCCTCTCTCGACGTTTTCAGATCGTCTGTGGTCAGGAAACTCACGGTCATATTTGTGATATTGAAGAGCTCCGCAAGGAGCTGGATGGGGCTTCTCATGGAGTCAACATCGGTTTCTCGGGTTTCGAGGATTCTCAACGTGAAGGTGGGGTGGTTACTGTCTTGGGCCCTCAGGTCTCGGTCATCTTTCCTCGTATTTACCACCAGGCTCTTATTGTTGGTCGTATTCTGCAAACGACGTGTATTGGCCCCTCTGGTGCGTTTGTCCTCTTTAACGTTCACATGCCCAACACGAGCGACACGCTCGCCACATACTCTGCTGCCTTGCGTGTTCTTCAAGCAGCAGTCAAGGAGGCTGGCTCGGCGCATTGCATGCTCATTGGTGATTTTAACTTTGCTTTGGAGGAAGAGGGGAGGATGCAAGGAGATGGGAGCGGATGGACGCATGGCGATCGGGCCCACTCTCGCCTTTTTCACCGCATGTTTCCGACGCTTACGGAGGTGTATCAGGAGTCCGACACGAGGAGGGA